AATCTACGGGCGCATGTCTGCACAATAGCCAACGATAAGCACATGTCGAAGATACGAATTGAGCACATCTGAGCGCCTTTCTGCACAAATGATGCCGAACAAGTATCCTCTAGTATCCCCATGTAGAAAAATGTCTCAGGAGAAGCGCCTGCTTTCTTTATCTGCCAGGTTCATGGCCAACGAGCAATTCCGAGGCATTCCCATCGTGGACCTCCCCAGTTGCTTATCTCTGTAAGTGTGCACAAGCACATACATAGATATTTGTGATTGTCGCGGGCGGGGCAAGACGAGCCTCAAGCCTCTCAACATTCGGAAAATACGGGCCCAGCTAGGCAAGCTGAGGCCGGGCCAAATGAGAAGGACTCACTCGATGCAGCGCGGGCAAAAACCTGGCTAGAATTAGGACGACAAGGGGCCAGCGGAAAAGGAGGGGTAAGCAAAGCGAAGAGGGAAAGGAGCCATGAGCGACGGCAAGCCGCCGAGGGAGACACGCGGACGGACGCGAGGGACAACGGGACAACAGACGAGGTCAAGAGAGGAGACAACAGACACCACAATGGCAAGGAAAGGCAAGAAGAGGTAAAGGAGGAGCCAGCCGAGGAGGGAGGCGAGGGAAAAGGAGAGGGGCCAGAACACAAAGGCAGGGGAGGAAGGAAAGGGGGCGGGCCCAACTCAGCGGGTCGGTGAGAAGGTTCTCCTCCCGCGCGACCCGCGTGCGAGTTCTTCAAGGCGCGCCTGTAGCCCGTGCTCCCAGGTCGCCCACGGATCACTAGTTTCCACCTCGCTCCGTGGCTTCCACGACGCTCACGGATCAAGGCGCGCCTGCTGTTCCTCGTTATTGGCTGAACGCGTCGGACTACCACCTTGCTCCGCAACGTCTGTAGGCAGACCCTGGTCTCGCGCGCTCGAGACTGCAGGAATGTTGCCGGATTCAGGCTCTGGCTCCCACGGGGGAAATCAGAGAGGCCGTCGCAAGCGGCGACGGGGAGGTCGGGTGGGAGGATAAACTTATCCCGACAAAGCAACATAACAGCGATGTGTATAAGCATATCTGGAAGCATTCCCCTTAAGATTCAGGTGAGAATCCAGTTGTAGAATTCTGCTGTTCTCGCAGTCGCAGTCGCAATGACAGTCGCAGTGGCAACGGTCTTAGGATCCAATGGAATCCTAAGGATTCCTAGGGATTCCTAAGGCATCCTTAGGCATCCTTAGGAATCCAATGGAATCCTAAGGAAACCTTAGGAATCCGGATTCCTGGGGATTCCTAAGGATTCCTAGGGAATCCTAAGGATTCCGAAGGATTCGCCTGCCTCGGCCTCAGCCTCAGCCTGCCTCAGCCTCAGCCTGCCTCGGCCTCAGCCTCAGCCTCAGCCTCAGCCTCAGCCTCAGCCTGCCTCAGCATCAGCCTCAGCCTGCCTCGGCTTGCCTCGGCCTCAGCCTCAGCCTGCCTCGGCCTCAGCCTCAGCCTCAGCCTGCCTCAGCCTCAGCCTCAGCCTGCCTCAGCCTCAGCCTGCATCAGCCTCAGCCTCAGCCTGCCTCGGCCGCAGCTTGCCTCAGCCTCAGCCACAGCCTCAGCCTCAGCCTCAGCCTGCCTCAGCTTCAGCCTCAGCCTCAGCCTGCCTCGGCTTGCCTCAGCCTCAGCCACAGCCTGCCTCGGCCTCAGCCTCAGCCTCAGCCTGCCTCAGCCTCAGCCTCAGCGTCAGCTTCTCAGCCTCAGCCTGCAAAGGCGGCAGCACGCACCCTCAGCCTCGGCCTCAGCCTGGCCCTCAGCCTCAGCCTGCTCTTGCCTCAAGCGCATCTATTTTCACCTCCAGCCCTGGCCTTTCCGCAGCTTGCCTCAGCCTCTGCCATCTGCCTCAGCCCAGCCTGCAGCCTGCCTCAGCTTCAGACTCAACCGCAGCCTGCCTCGCTTGCCTCAGCCTCCTGCCTCAGCCTGCCTCAGCCCGCAGCCCGTTTCCCTCGGCAGCTCGGCTTGCATCCATCATCATCCTCGCCTCAGCCTCAGCCTGCCTCAGCCTCAGCCTCAGCCTGCCTCTGCCGCAGCTTGCCTCAGCCTCAGCCACAGCCTCAGCCTCAGCCTGCCTCAGCTTCAGCCTCAGCTTCAGCCTCAGCCTCAGCCTGCCTCGGATTGCCTCAGCCTCAGCCTCGGCCTCGTCCATCAGGAAGGCCCGGCTTGCCCTCGGCCTCAGCCTCAGCCTGCTCGGCATCAGCCTCAGCCTCAGACCTGCCTCACCTCACCTCAGCCTCCTCATGCTCAGCCTGCTCAGCCATCACCTCTCCTGCCTCTGCCGCAGCTTGCCTCAGCCTCAGCCACAGCCTCAAGCATCAGCCTGCCTCTGCTTCAAGCCTCAGCGTCAGCCTCAGCCTCAGCCTGCCTCGGATGCCTCAGCCTCAGTCCCCCCTCCCCTCGCCGTGCCTCTGCCTCAGCCTCAGCCGCACCTGCCTCAGCTCTGCTCAGCCTCTCAACCCTCTGCTGCATCAGCCCTCCGCTGGCCCTCAGACGCCGCAATCAGCGCAGCCTCCTGCCTGCCTCAGCCTTAAGGCCAGCCTCACCTCAACTTCAGCCTGCCTCGGCCTCAGCCTGCGTCAGCCTCAGCCTCAGCCTGCCTCAGCCTCAGCCTGCCTCAGCCTCAGCCTCAGCCTGCCTCGGCTTGCCTCAGCCTCAGCCTCAGCCTGCCTCGGCCTCAGCCTTCCTCGGCCTCAGCCTACCTCAGCTCGGGCATTCAAAATATGGCACAGGACTTGTGTTCTGGGAACACGAAGATCACGAACCGCCCCACAGTTGGCTCCGGGCAATCAAAATAGGGTACAGGAATGGTGTTCCGGGAACACGAAGAACACGAAGTGGCCTACAGTTGGCTCCAGACATTCAAAATGTGGCCTGGGAGTGGTGCTCTGGGAACACGAAGAACACGAAGTTGCCTACAATTGGCGGGATGCAAATGGGGGGATCAGTCCAGATGGGGAGAGAAGCGCAACCGAGGTACAAATTGTACCTACGCCCCACGGAGGAGGTACAATTTGTACCGACGCCACGCAAACAAGGTACAAATTGTATTTGTGACGACGCCCGCGACATGTGCGAGGATGTTAACGGGGGGAGAAGATACATATTGTACTTGCAACCCGCAAAGAAGGTACACATTGTACCCCAACAAAACGGTACCGGATACTCATCCCCCCATGTCCTCATCCCCCCATCGCCATCCGGCCGATACAATTGGCTCCGGGCGTTCAAAATGTGGCCTGGGAATTGTGTTATGGGAACACTAAGAACACGAAGTGGCCTACAGCTGGCTCCGGGCATTCAAAATGTGGCCTGGGAGTGGTGTTCTGGGAACACGAAGAACACGAAGTAGCCTACAGCTGGCTCCAGGCATTCAGATTTTTTCCCCACCGCAACGACATCGCCTGAAGGTTCGATTCGATCGCTCCGCCACTCTTGAAATCCGTTGCCCTTCAAGAGGGCTTTCCTCCCGGACGCACGCGACGAAACAGCCAACAGCAGTGCAGTGAAGAGGCCAAAAACTTGCAGTGGCCCCGGACTCGGGCAATCGGGGGAGGAGGGAGGAGGGGGGAGAGGAGGAAGGGGGGAAGGAAGAAGGGGAGCAGCGCAAACGGAGCCAACATGCGGAGCAGGAATCTTAAAGTGTAATGTTTGCCCCGCCCTGTGGGAGCAAACCTAGGGACGATACGACAATTCCCCAAGGTCGTATCGGTGAGACCGGGGGGGAAGGAAAAAGGGAGGGAAGAGGAGGAAGACGACGAAGAGGAGAAGGGGGGGGAAGGGAAGCATTGAAAAACCGCCAGGCTGCGGCAACACGAGCAGCATTGATGCAAAACCCACCCTAGGTTTAACTCGTGCGGAAGGCGCCATGCATGCGCTCAAAATTCAATATCGTGTGACAGGAGCGGGAGGAGCAGGGGGGAGGACAAAGAGAAGTGGAAGGGAGAAGGAAGGAGAACAACAAGTTGGGCGCAAGCACTCGCCAACATAAACATCATAAGAAAGGCGGGCACTAAGGTGCCCAGCTCGGCGCACGCTGCTCAGCAGCGGCTGGAGGGCGAGCCAGAGCTGAAAATGCAGCTAAGGGTCGGCCGGCAGCGGCTGCCAACCATCAGCACGCCAAGCGCATGCAAGCAAAGGCAAGAGCTGCCAATTAAGGAGGAAGGAGGGGGGAGAGGGAGGGAGGACAGGAGAAGAGGAGGGGGACTGCACGCTCGAGTCGAGCGCACTGGGCCTCCACAGCCGCGGATGGACCTGCCGGCTCGGAGTCACCGATCGGCACCACGATCCGGAGGGAGAGGGACGAAGAGGAGGCAGAGGACGAGGAAAGAGGGGGGGGGGGCGACTTCACGCTCTAAGGGAGCGCTCGGGGCCTCCACGGCCACGGACACACCTGCCGGCTCGGATCTGTGGATACAAGTTCCAGCCAGGAATGTGTAAATCAGAAGCTGCTGCGACGGATGCCTCCCCCCACAGGGGGCCGCAAACCCGAAGACAGGGAACCGCCCCCCGAAGACGACAGCGGCGACGCGGACGACGACGACGACGACGACGAAGACGACGACGAGACCGCGACGGCGACGACGCCACCACCGCCGCCGACGACGACGACGACGAAGGAGGAGGAGGAAGGAAACCAGGAAGAGGAGGGAAGAGAGGGAGGGACAGGAAGAGAAGGGGAGGGAGACGACGACGGCGGCGGGGGAAGAGAGAAGGAAGGAGGAAGCCGCAACAGCAGCAGCACGAGGAGGAGAGGGGAGGAGAAGGAAAGGGGGAGAGAAAGAGAAAAAGAAAAAAAAAAAAGAAGATAAAAAAAAAATACGAAAAAAAAAGAAAGAATGAGAAGAACAAAAAAACAAAATGAAGAAACAAAAAGAAAGAAAAAAAATAAAAAAAAAAAAAAAAAATGAAAAAAATAATAAAAAAAAAAGTAAACAAAGAACAGAAATGAAAGAAAAAAAAAGAAACCAAAATAGATTAATGAAAAGAAGAAAGCAACGGCCCCCTGCCCCCGGGCGTGGGGCCCCCGGGGGGGGGCGGGGGGGGAGAAGCAGAGATGCTGGCGTTGGCACGGGGCAGAACCGCGCGAATTTCCGACCCGAATTGGACTACACAGTTTTGACTCCGACACTGTGCTGCGTCGGCCACGCGGCCGGGACAGACAAATCTGCGGAAACAGAGCCCGGAGTTTCGGCCGCGTTCGCAGGACACGGCGCGCGGGCTGCGCGGACCTGTCGCTGCGCTCCGCCCGTCGTGCTGCGTGATAACGTTCGCGCGCCCGCTGGAGGAGGGAGGGGCGAGGGAGGGAGGAAGAGGGGGAGAGGGAGAGGTGCCGGCGTCGGCACGGGACAGAACTGCACGAATATCCACCCCGAATTGGGCTACACAGTTTTGACTCCGACGGTGTGCTCTATCGGCCACGCGGCCGGGACAGGAAAAAATTGCGAGCCTCAGACGTGGGAGGTGGTGTGGCGCTTGCCCTTCAACGTCTAGCTGCGTCGAGCGTCCGGGTTGCGCCTGCGTGGCCAGACACAAGGTCGCGGACGGCCTGCTGCAGCGCGTCTCTCGCCATGCGTGGCGTGCGACGGGTCGCATGCCTCCACCAGTTGTGTACTTTGTACACTGCCGCGGTGCGGAGAGCCCACAGAGTCAGCTCCTGCTGGGGCCGTTGATCCGCAGCGCGGTCCAGTAGCAGAAGCTGAGCCAGCCCGGCCTCCGGCGACGGGGCTCGCGGGATCCCAAGCCTGCGCCGTGCGAAGTCGGCGACGGCATCACAGGACGCGTAATGCTCAATGCTGTCCATCGCGTGTCTGCAGCCGAATATGCAACTCGAGCCGGCCATGGGTCCACCAGGCCATCGGCGGGCAGTGACCCAGCCGTTCCACAATGTCCGCAGAACTGAAGCCCACACCCTCGGCGGGACCAGCGGCGCCAAATGCTGCAACATCGACGCTGCTCGCTCGCCACGACGCTGCAGACTGGCTGGAAGCGAGCGCCGTTGCAGACGTTCCCCCATCCGGCCGACCATGTAGGCCGCTCTGTCGGGCTCCACGGCCCTGCACACAAAGCGTTGGGAACCCCGTCGAACACGATTATCCACGGTCATTGTGAAAGGGCGCGGCGAGCGCTCAGACAGATGAAACTCCGCCCTCGCCCTGCTAGCTCCAGCTCTGTCCGCTGCGGCCACCGATGCCTCGAGCTGGAAGACAAAAGCTCGATCCAACCAAGACGCCCACGTTGCGGCCCGAATCGGGGAGTCGCGTTGGTGGCGCCACTCTCGGAGCTCCCGTGCCCGCGAGGCAATCTGCACCCCCCCCTGGCTGACGGCTTCCAGGTGGGCCACTCTGCACTGGGAGGCGGCGACGCGGGCCTCGAAGTCGGGCAAGCTCTTCGGGAAGCCCAAGAACTCCAAACAACGTAGATCGAGTGGGCAGCACCAATGGCCTGGACCTGGCGTGAGCCGGCGCACGGCCGCGATCTCCGCCTCCACCCGAGATGGAGGGGGTCTGTCCAGCTGCGCCACGAAGGTGAGCACCGGCAGCACACAGACGGAGTACGCAGCCAGCGTATAGAACAGCCCTGCGCCGACAGCACCCCACGACTGCGCGCGCTCGCTGTACTTCCGCAGCGGAGCGTCGTACGCTCGGTTCCCGCACCCAGGCCCAAGGTAGAAGCCCAAGTACTTCGCGAAGCTGGATATGCGTATCCCAGCCCATCCGGGGCAAGCGCTGGACACGTCGTTCTGGACCACTGCGTTGTCTGCGAGAAAGAGGGGCACCAGGATCGTCTTGGAAATGTTTAACTGGAGGCCCGACATAGCAGCGTATTCGGTGAAAACGACCGCCAGTCTCGGTAGCTCGCGCAGGTAGTCCGGAACAACACCAGCGAGGTCGTCGGCGTAAGCCCGTCGCAGGCTGCCCAGGGAAAGTCGCCGCAAACGTCGAAGCAATATGTCGGCGGCGACTGCGAATATGAGCGGTGAGAGCGGGCAGCCTTGCCGGATTCCAGCTTTCAGAGCAAAACCTGGGTGGCGGGACCCGGCGACGACTAACTCGCATTTGTTGTCCTTGTACAACGCCTCGAAGAAGTGCAGGAACCAGCCGGGTAGGCGCAGGTGAGAGAGGACACAGCGAAGGAAATCGTGGGCCACGCTCGGGAACGCGGCGCGGAATTCGAAGAAGATGGCGGCGCCGGCCTCCTCCTGTAATGCGCACCGCATCATGTCGTGATCCACCGCGACCACATTCGAGAACAAGGAGCGGCCTACCAGAAATCCTTGTTGCATGTCAGACACCCATTCGGCCAACAACGGCTCCACCCTCAGACGTACAGCGTTTGCCGGGAGGCGGTTCTCGCAGTTGGAGATGTTCAGGGGCCTCGTGTCCGATGGCGCGCAATAGTCTCCGACAATCGCCGCTTGCCCCGTGGGGCTTTTGGGCAAGAACACCATCGCGCTGGAATTGAAGGACTGGCCAGGGAATAACCAGTCCACGTGCAATTCCTCGATCCGGTCTGGACCACCAGGAGCAGCCATATCCAGAGCGGCCGCCAAAAGTATGTCCACTGCAAGACCCCCTAATCTTTGCCACGCCAGGAAGGTCACCCCGTCGGGGCCCGGCGCCGACGGCGGCGCCTGCCGCAGCGCATCTTCCACATCGCTCCAGCGAAGTTGCCATCGTGGATCCGCTTCTTGAGGCATGCTCTCGTGAGGCTCGTGCGGCGGCGGCGGCGGCAGCTCCTCGGCCAGCCACCTGGACAGGAGGGCCGCGTCGCATCGGCGAGCGCCAAATACGTCGCTCCAGCGCGCCCGGAGCGCCTGTGCCATGTCCTCCGGATTCGTCGAAACCCTGCCGCCCTGTAGCTGCACTGCGCACACGCCCCCAGAGCGACCTGGACGTAGCCGTCGCAATCTCGACACGATGCGTCCACGGCGTACCTGGGCTTCATCATCTGATAACACGGGGAGCTCTTGGTGCAGGTCCTGGAGATCCGCGATCGCCGCGTCGCGGGACAGCTCGACGGCATGCCGGCGGAAGGGGCGAAGACCATCGCGGAAGCGTATATCTTGAGAGAGGGGGTTCGGCGCCAGGTCCTGTAAAGCTGGGTATGCTGCTAAGCATTTCCTCATGATCCCGACGCGCCCCGTCTCTGCAGCTCTAACAAAACGCATCGTCCATCCGACCCTGTCGTCCAAACGCGCCGCCGCCGGCGGCGAGCGGGCCATCTCTGCCCCCATCCGATCTGAGACCACCCGGATGGCGCGCTTCAGGAGCAGCAACTTCCGAATGGGCTGGTCGGAGGCCAGGTTGCTGCTCAAGGAATCGTGGAACTCGGTGGACACCCGCTGCGGCCAGGATTCATGTCGCACCACCTCCGGCGCGATCGGGCGGAGCTGGTCGGGGCGCTTGGCCGGGGGGCGACGGAAGAACGAAATAGCCCGATGGGCTTAAAGGCGCGGGACCCACTCGAGGGCCGCGCATCCGAGAAGTCGGTCTAACTGCTCGCTGGAGTCGCAGTTTACGTAGACCCTGTCGAGCCGAGACCTGGCCGAGGCGGAAGCATGGGTGGGCGCATCCTGGAAAAGCTCGTAGAGGTCGATCGGGGACTGCACCTCCTGGCACCAGTGGCGCTCATCTCCGGCATCTCGGCCTCCTGAGTCGCCCCCGCTGGCGAGCCCGAAACGATCCCCCGCCTCCACGACCCAGTTGAAATCGCCTGTCACGACGGAAAGCGCCTCGGAAGAAGGCCGGCATGCAGAAGCCGCTCGCCGGCGCAGGTCGTGGCGCTGCCGACGTATGGCCACCTCGTCAACTGGCGCATTAGATCGCTCACCAGAGGAGCACGATGAAGAGGAGGACGAAGTAGATGAAGAGGAAGAAGCACGGGTGGCGATCAGGCGCGGCGTGCCCGTCGGGAAATAGACGGCAAATATATCCAAGGACCCTGCCGGGCCGCGAAGCCGCAATGCCGCAGCTCTCCCAGGAAGGACTTCGCGCCAGTCCGCCCGCACCCAGTCGAACTGGTCGAGGAACGCGCGGCGCACGATCACCCCGACCCCTCCGCGACGGGTGGAGCCCAGAGACCACCAACCCACGCAGTCCCGCGGGCAGTCCCACGCAGCCGCAGCACCCGCCGACCCATGGGACTCGGAGATGACTACGAAGTCGTGCTGAGATAACAAATGCTTCACGTACCTGGCCTTCGGGAGATGTCGACGAGCAGCTCGTGCAAATAGAGCCTGGCTGTTCCAAGCCGCACCCCGGAAGTCGCCCGTGAATGGCGCGTCGAGTGTTCGCTGTCGCGGTGCTGGGTCAGGTCGTAGATCACCAGGTGCATGCATGGGCGGCAGGGGTGGCCCATGTAGTCGACGAAATTTGGGCGGTCGGTGAGCAGGAGGAAGCGGCACCTCCTCCGCAGCATGGGCAGCGCCACCATGCGGAAGAGCAGCGCCGGCGGCGGCAGCGGCCTCGGGGACGGCATCTGCGCGAAGATCGTGCACCCCATGATCCCCGTGAAGAAGAGAGAAAGAGATGTCGAAGATGAAACTCTTGCAACCGAGGCGCGAGACCACCTCAATTATCGGGGCTCTCGGCAGCCCCTGCCCGGCTAGCCCACTTAGCGCCCCGCGTCGCGGGGACCGGGGCCGCGCGCGGAGGCAGGGCCCCGGCCCGCCTGCCTCCGCCCCCCGTTTCCCGGCGGGCCTGACATGGAGTCGAACAGGTCAATGTGCACGGCCAGGCTGATGAAGTCAGAGCCCATCTGGATGGCCCGGCCGTGGAAGGAGTCCATGAGCTGCTGAACCGAGCTCGCATCTTCCAGCAATATCCTGACCCGACCGGGCGGCGCTGAAGGATCCTGCGCAGCCAGCCACCTCCAAGACCCTGGCCCCATAGCGTCCGTCAGCGAGGCGTCTGTGAGCGAGACCCCCAGGGAGCGCGAGACCTCGCGCATGAGGTCCGCGACCATCTTCTGCGGATCGTAGCCCAGAGAGCCATGGAGGGTGAGCTCTGCCGATGAATCCGCTGTGCGGGATGCGGCGCCTCTCCTGTCCTGAATCCGTCTGGTGGCGTCCAACTGCCTTGACGTCGCTGACGGGGTAACCCACTCGCGGCCCCCGTGACGAGAGGGACGACGGCGAACGCGAAGAACTGCCGAGGAGGTGTCAGCAACCATGATCCGATCAAGGACTGGTCGCCAAACGTCAGGATCCGCGTTGGTCGTCACGGTCACCAAGCGGCTGGACGCGAACACTGCCTCCTGGCATAGATACCATATATGGTAAAAGGCTTCAGGCGTCATCAACTCCACGAGCAGCGCCGAGCTATCCTTGTAAAGGGAGCGCCTCCCCACGTACACCGACTCAGGGAGGTGGAAGAGACGACGGAGCGAGTCAATGTAGCACCGGGCGTCCAAGGAGACGACCCCCACAGGGAAGTAGATCTCCACCCGAGCGCGTGGGAGGCCAGCTGAAGAGGCAGGACTACGGGAAGGGATGCCGACAAGTACTCCCAGGTGAACGCCAGATTGCTCAACGCAACGCCGTACTGCTAGAAAGTCTCCTGCCGGAAAGTCCACAATCAAGCGCTCAGAGCTCTCCACGGAGAAGAGCGGATCCGACAGGCGGGCCACGGCATGTGGGGACCGAGCCAGGGACGTCGACAGCGTAACCAGCATAAGGCCCTGGTGTATAACACGAGGATTGCACTGACCAGCGAGTACTAGTTCTACAGGCTGAGTGATGAAAGATACTGCCCGGACCAAGGACGCGATGAACGGCTTATCCCCCAGGAGCTGGTGCCAAAACGAGTCCTTGATCGCCTCCACCGTGGTGCAACCTGGGAACAACTCCATGGGGACAGCGAGGCGTAGAGACTTCTGAGCCCCCATCGCCAGGGTCCCAGGAGACCGGGAGAAGCAGGAAAGCATGCGCCCTACGGCGGCAGCCTCCTTTGGGGCCCAGAGGAGCAAGCCATCGCCCTCGACCTCCTGGTAGACGTCCTCCCCCTTGTACGCGCGGTCCGTGATGAGCCTGGCCTGGGGCGCCGTCAGAACCGCCGGCGACGAGGTACGAGAGGGCAGGGCCGACGACATTTGGGTGGCGACCACCTCGTTCTGGAGAGGCGCAGTCTGTCTGACGTGGTCAAGCGCCACAGATCCCAACTCCTGCCAATGAGGCAACAGAGAAGACCCCCTCAACCTCCTCCGCTCCTTGATGATCCTCGGCAGCTCCTTCAAGCAAAGGTCCACGGCCTCCCGCATCGATTGCAGAGCGAGTAAGGCCGCATCCCGCTCGGAGGCATCCCATGCCGGGGACTCCGCACATGAGAAAAATAGTCGTGCTATCTCCCACCTCCTCTCGATGACAGCCGCGGACGGCTGTGGTCCTTCCATAGCGGGAACGCCGATGCGGATCCACACGTCCCCAGCGTCTGGCCGGAAGCCCAGGGTCTCCAGCATCTGTCGCACTGGAGCCCATGCCGAAAGCGAAGCACGTGGGACAAGCTGAAGTCGATGATTGCGGAGCGCTGCTTGAGCATGAATCACGTCGAAATGCTTCATCAGCTCAGCCTCCACAAGCTGGACGAACGCATCAGCCGAGACGTCCCTACCAGCAACTCCCGGGCCCCGTCCTGCGACCGCCGGCGACGCGCCCAGCGCTCCAGCAGCTGAATTGGGAGCAAGTCCCGGCGGCGTGCCGACTCCAGCCAGCTGCAAGGCGGCAGCGGCCTGGGTGAGGCCGGAGTCGTCGTCCATGCTCGAGGCCTCGGCCGCGGCGGCCGCCATGGCTGTGCTCGCGAGCGCAGGAACCGGAAACCCATCGGTTTACCCGCGCACGCGACCACGGGCGCTGGAGGTCTCGCTTGGGCTGTGGCCTTGGGCTGGATCCTTAAGCTTGAACCAAGTTCTGGGAACACGGCTCCAGTCATTCAAGTCTCGCTTGGGCTTGGCTCCAGGCATTCAAAATGGTGTTCTGGGAACACGAAGAACACGAAGTGGCCTACAGTTGGTTCCGGGCATTCAACATGTGGCCTGGGAATGGTGTTCTGGGAATGGATGCCTAAGGATTCCTAAGAATTCCAAAAAGTCCATGAAGGATTCCTACGGCTGGCGGATCCGTCCGGTTCCTTGTCCGGTTCCCGCCCAGAGCCCCCTGGGGCGTCAAGATGCTCTCTTTTGACACCACTAGAAACCGATCAGCAGAAGCTGTTAAGTAAATTATCCCGGCAAAGCAACCTAACAGCGATGTGTAGAAGCATAGCTGGAAACATTGCCTGTGGTATTCATGTAAGAGTGCTGTTGTAGAATTATGGTGTTCTCGCAGTCGCATTCGGATTCGCAGTGGCAGTCGCAGTGGCAACATCAGCGGCAGTCGCAGTGGCACTGCCAGTAGTTGCAGTAGCAATAGCTACACTAGCAGCAGCAACAGCAGCATCAACAGTAATAGTAACAGTAGTAGTAGCAGCAGTAGAAGTAGTAGTGATGGTAGTAGTGGTAACAGTGAAGTAGTAGTTGTGGTGTGTGGAATGAACGAGTAGGAGTGATGGGAGCAGTGGTAGTAGCAGTAGAAACACTGCTTTCAATAACGGTATCTCCAAATGAGATCTTTGTATAAATGCATTGAGGCCTAAACGAGACACTGCTATCAACGGATGCGATTCCAAACGAGACACTGCTATCAACGGGTTGAGCCTCAAACGACACACTTGCATCAATGAGTGTAGCTCCAAAACAAGCACTCCCATGAATGGATTTAGTGTGATGTCGTAGTAGTAGCACTAACATGGGTCAGGAACACCGCCGCCAGACCGAGAACTATCAGCATGTCCTGGCATTAAGGTGTGCAGT